GGCGTTGATAATTTGTTGCTAAATTAAGTTGAGGGTAGTCGAGCGTATCATGCAAATGTTTGTTTTCAGATGTTCTTGTAAAGTTTCTGGGTTGAATCAGAATTGGACCTTTTAAGTGAACGTAAAATGTTCCTTTGTCTAGAGCAATACATCTATTAGATGCACTAACTTCCTTCTCTTGAAATCATTGGCATCAAATCAATCATGTAAATGGTTAAAGTACATTATTAGTGTTTGCATAAGTCTATAATTTGGTTAGATTGAGTCTTTTCCCGTTCACAGATGTTAAGTAAACCTCCATGTACGATTTGTGCTTTAGGTCACTGCTGAGTGAAATTAACGTTTTGGAATTATTGATTGCTAATTTAATAGTACTTCTAATAATTTTCCAAAGTGGAGGAAAGGAAATTCTTTCATGTTGATTAATTATAATAATATATTTGTTTTGAACAGGCAGGAAATTCAACGCTTGCCTTTGACTTGCCCAGCTGACAGGAATGGTCTGGTTCGAGACCGGGTAACTTATTTATACCATTTATGTAGTGATTCATTTTCAGCTGATATAGTTAGAGGACATAATCCATAAGGTGATTGTTGTCCTGTTTCGAACATTCTGGGTAAAATGTAAATGCTTCTGTGGGTTCGACAAAACAGGAGCTAAGATCTAGTGAGACAAACTAATAGATTATCTATCTCTCAAGGATACGGAAGACCTTCGCGGGCGTGCTTAACTTGGCGAAAAAGAAAAAAATTAACGCGCTATTCGAAGCATAACCACCATAAAATATACCTCAACAGAAAGTTTATGAAATGCACTATTCGAAAAGAAAAATTATTTCGGTCTAGCTTGATCTAAACGTAAACCGAATGAGGCGCGACATTTCGAAATGGGGGATATTTCCTCGAGCGAATTTATTGCACGTCAAATCTGACTGCACAAATAAAATTGCTGCACGTATTCAGGTATGAGGGTTTAGTCCTCAAAAGAGTGTGGGAATTTTTCGATATTATTATTGGTTGGTTTGTGATTTATCTGTCAAGTTTGATGATCAAAATTTTGCCGATACGCATTACGTCGGAGGCCAATGCGGGAGATCTATTTTGAAGAACGGAATTCCCCATACTGC